CTTGGATTGTAATTATATGTTTTATGTCTGACACTACTTCACAACAGATGACAGCAAAATACTGTACAGTGAAATCACGATGAGTGATGTATACTTAAAAACAAAAACATTTTTACAGGTTTAGACTGTCTTGAATTCACTCACCCTTCCCCCTACAAATATCACCAAAGATTTTTTTTGTTTCATTTAAATTTGTCCCAATGTAGCAGTAAAACAGGTTATCGGATAGTTTTCCACTGCAGCCCTTAAAAATACTGTACTGCCGACAGTAGAGCCAATATTTTACATCAGAACAGTCAAATGATCATGACCAAAAACTGTCATGGTTCTGTTTGTTTATGTTTCAGGCCCTGCTGGAGTGGAGGGCGTTCCCTCCAGCCGTGCACCTGTCCTGCGTTTCAAACAGTGGACTAGGGCTGCCACGGCGACCACTTACTGTCGGATTATTCAGCCTTGCTCACGACTCGTGTTCAAGTGCTTGTTTATTTGAGATGTTCTCGACTTTGCCTGATAATTCCTTTGCCACGTTTTGGTTTTTGGTCATGTAAGTAGCATTTTGTTTAAAGGATAATCCTCGGTCAGTAATGTATGCGTGATTGGATTCCTTGTCCTCTTCTGCCAAGCGATTTTTCGTTTGTATTTTTTCCTTGTTTTATCTCGTTTCCTTGTTACCAGAGTTTTCGTTGTACTCTGTCGGTCTTACAATCTGTTAATAAACATTTGTTGTCAACTCTTATCCCTGTCTACATATGTGGAATCCAATTGTGTTCCAGAGCGTTCCTTAATAAACATTTGTTGTCAACTCTTATCCCTGTCTGCATATGTGGAATCCAATTGTGTTCCGGAATGGAACACATGACATAAACAAGGAGCAAAGGATGAGATGCAATAAATGAATGAGGTTAAATGATGTTAGATACAGTATTTGGAAAAAAGCATATTTTGAGCTTGGATCTGAAAAGAATGAAAGAGTTGGCAGTGCGGAAGTAAGGTCAGGTCTTAACAAGATGGATGTCGTGTTGTAGAGTCGACTCCAAGATTGCGGTAAAGTGCGAGGGTGTCTGGAGGGCATTTTGGTGGTCACAAGGATCACAAGAGTTCAAAATACACTCTAGCTTGTGGAATGACTTATGGTGTGACCAAACAGAAGTGAGCTGTATGAGTCAAAACGGGGGTGACAAGGTTATGGACCTGGATAGCGCCAGTATGAATGGTGAGGAATGAGCGGAGTTGATTCACGATTTGTCAGTGGAAGACAATTCTACTTGTCGTTGTCCCACGACCTGGTATCCATTCGGAGGGGCATAGCAGATGAGATGCGGTACACTAAGTCCTTCCACCTCTTGTCCATGTCTTGATGTCAGCGGACAGAGTGATGTTACGTAATGTGGGATTCAAAAGTGAGTGTGTTATCATGGCTGACACCTCCAATCTGAGCCTGAGTAAACAAAAAAAAGTTTTCCAATGTGACTGAAAAACTGTCCGTTTTGGCAAGTACGGGCTTTGTACCTGCAAAAAAAAAAAAGGACTTCTGTTTGGTCATTGTTCTGTGGCGAACCATTGTCTGAATTCGGATGGGCAATCGACACGGGAGGAAGGTGGAAGAAAGGGTGGTGTGTTTGGCGGGAAGGGATCAGTAGCAGATGCTGGTCTGTCAAGGAGGGGAAGCTCAATTTCATCAAAAAATGTGTCTGTTTATTTATACGTGAATTCTACTCTCCGTTCCTTTTCAAAGAAATGATCTGTGACCCTTTGGTGATATAAGTCAGTCTGCGAACACAAGCAACTACAATAAAAGCCACCAGAAATAAAAGATTAATTTGTCACTAGTCGCTTTCAACAAAGAGAGTATCCCTAAAATGATTAGAAGTCTCCAGTTCAACTCAGAACAGAATGAGACTTGGAAAAATGCTCCCACGGATGCCTACACCAAAAGATCGATGATTGGCTCATTTCGCTGTCAATCAAAAAGAGATTCAGCCTCAGACAGATCATCCAATCGTCATGCAGAAAAGCTCAGCGTCCGGGCGGGCCGATACACGCCCACTGTCCATCGACTCCCAGAGACGCTGAGCATCCGACGGGCGCGACAAAACCAGCATTTATCCAATGACTCGTCTCGTTTCAATTGGGACAACCTACTCAGAACTCTCAAGACGCCCAGCGTCCGCGCTGCAGACGCTCAGCGTCCACACCGTTTTAAGCACAGTGAAGCTGCGGGAATGAATGAGAAGAGAGTTGCGTCGTAACCAGTATTAAGAAGCTGATTCGGAACAAAAGTTGGGCGCGTTGGAGCGCATATTTAGTCAATGACATGTCCACACAATTATATGTACACACATGTATTTGATCACTTACTTTTTGACATTTTAGGGGAAGCTGAGCTTCCCTTGCAGTCTTAGAGCAATCGCCTCTGGAAGGGATGTCTGGCTGTCATCCACATAAGAACGGAAATGGAAGTTGAATTTACGCAAAATTGCAGAGAGGGACAAGGTAAAGAATTGAGCAGGAGCGTGGAAAAATGCATACGCCACATTTTTGGGCATACGCACCCTTCGTACAGGTGGAAACGCGACAGGTAGAATTAGAATGATTTCTGACTGTAGTGTGGCTGAAGAATGAGAGTGGGATTTGAACCAGTCACTTCAAATTAATTTGAGCATGTTTTCGATCTGCTTTCAGATGCACACAAAAAAAAAAATGCGACAGTCAGCAAGTGGTTTCTTTGCTCTGGTTTTAATTATAACTCTCTTTGCATTACACTGAATGCTTTATCAACTGTTATGATGCGGCGTTGAAAAAGACATTTTGTAAATTATCATAAATACACAACACTGTAACCCCCAGTATAAGCCTCGGGACCCACTAAAAATAGTGTTCCTTTACTCTCTGCAGTAGATCACATTATGACACAATTATCGTACCCATCACAAATAATGTAATCATGTAAAGACTTGTCAGAATGTGAGACAATTAAGCAAATATTGTTTGCTTTGTGTTTGTATGAAAATGGACGAGGGGGACCGATAGTAGTAGTAAGGCACAGTAGGGGAAGGAATTACTTACTCGTCAGGCGAGAGGAGAAATTCTAGACCCGGAGGTTAACGGAAAATGTTGCCATTTGATTTTCACTGATACTGTTTTCCCTTTGTGGATAAGCTCGATACTAAAATCCAACCACAGTCTGTTGAGGCCTTGGGCAACACATTTTTTTAGCAGCCTCAGAGTAAGATTCCATCTCGACTGAGGTGTTTTGTGATTGATTAATAATGCCCTCCAGTAAATCAACACGCATTGCACATGCAAGCTCTCACCGGTCTGATTCCATGAAAAAATTGGAACTGGGTATCTCATTCTCTCATCAACTCCCCATCCAATAGCCGTCAAGCCATTCTTTTCTAATGAAAAGACTCATGAAGTAGCCGATAAAATAACCAGACAACATTTTGGAAGGGAAAAATAATTAAAGGTTTGGCTCCTGCAAACATGACATCAGCACGTACCTGATCCATGTTGTGACTACACTTGTTTATGAATCTTTAAAACCTAAAGAGTCAATGCTCCAGTCAACTTTCTCAGTGTTATTGTGAGTTGTTGTTTTTTTTGTTTGTTTGTTTGTTTGTTTTTTTGATGATGATGATGCTCATTTCTTGCAGGCCTCTATAGAGCTCTATAGAAATCTCAATTACAATATGTATACGTGTAAAATAACATCACATTTCTCTTGGGCTAAGGTTAGCTAGGGCAGAACAGAGCAGAGTTTACATGTTTAATATTATTCATATACTTTTATATTATTTCTGTTAAAAATAATCTGTCCAAAATGAGTCCTCAATTTTGTCATTAAACATAATATCAGAAAACACGGCAATAAAGAAGGGTCATTGTCTATTCATAATCATTCGTATGTATTCTAAAATTGTACCCTGCTTCAGTACATTCATCCATAACTCACATTTTGTTTTCCACCATTTATATAGAAAAGCCGTCCATGGTTTATTGAGCGTTTACAGCTCTCCTCGTTTTGGAAGAAAATGTAGTTCACAATATGTTAGCAGACATGAATACAAAAAAAGGGAGACTAATCAAGGTTGGCATAAGGTCAAGGTCATGTAAAAACATAAAAAAAAAAAAAAAAAAGAGGGACTAGCCTCCGGAGAACTGTAGTGTTTCAAATTTGCTGAAGGTGTTCTGAAAGCTGCTCAGCCTGACGGAACTTGCTCCCAGAGTTACGATGCTCAGGAATGTCGGCAGTGTCAATCTCCAAAGCTCTTTCCTTGAATAGGAGTGTACCTGTGGAAGCAAGGGTGCCAAACAGAGAATGCTGGTATGGAGATGAGGGATGTATCCACTCCCTGAAGAAAACGGCAGAAGATGAAGAGGCGTCCAACTGTCAGCCAGGCCTCGGGACTCTGTGAAAACTTGTTTTCGGTCCAGTCTCTACAGAGCTTGATTGGGAAAAAACAAAATTAAATTAAGGCACAAAATTAAATTGATACAAAAAATTCGCCAGGTGACCCAGTAAGTTAAACATCTCTCGGGACAAAAAAGCAATTATGCAATGGAGACGGAATGACATTGCTTCAAATCACAGAAGGACCGCCTGATTGAGCTGACATTTGGGAGACATGGAAACAATAATCGACGAGCATTATTCCATTCACTGTGACCGTGACACAAAAGCAGAAGTTGAGAGCTTTCAGAAATACATTTGCCCATCACTCATCTGTAAACCTGCACGTTCAAAGTGAATAGTGAGTTTATCCGTGTTAAGCACACAAGCTAGAAAATTTAGCACATCACTTTTGAGAATCTTCGCAGAAGTAATAAACTGTTGATGCTTTATTTTATGGCATGTGTGTTTCATGTGAAGTGGTTTACTTGGGCAACTTTTATGCTTCGGTTTATGCTGTAGATCCAAAACAATTGTTAAATCGTAAAATACTTGTAGGGCTGTCACGATCAAATCATTTAAGAAGGGAAATCTACTGAGATGGCGCCGGAGATAGCAGCCATTGACAAGACCTCCAAGAGAGAGAGATCTATAGATATAGATATAGATATATAGATATATAAATGTAACATAATTTGGGATTCATTACATTTCCATGGGAAAAATTTACCTCGATTTACAAATGTTTCGAGTTACAAACGGGGTCACGGAACAGATGAAGTTCATAACATGTGGTACCACTGTGTACATTCCAAATATCAAGTTCCTGCGATGTCTAATCACAGCCCCCAGAAAGCATATTTGCATGTTATGTCGAGATTGCCACGACATAATTGACAAACATTATTTATTCCCATTTATTTCTTTGGCATTTTGGAAAAGGCGGGCTGATGGAGGTCTACAATATAATCTTTAGCACATTTAAAATGCCCACGTGGAGTTAGCAAAGCTCCAACAAAAATTGTATGAAGAAACTATTTTCAAAGTTTGTGTTGTAAGGGAAAAAAACTAGACTTGTTTTAAAACAACTACAAAGTACTATGATGTTACTATGACTTTTAAAGAAGGTAACTTTTTTTTTTTTTCCGGGTCAAATCCATGTCCAAGTCTATTTCACTCGGGAAATCTCATCATTTTTCATGAAGTATATATATTTTTTTTTTACCACAGTTGGATTCCCAAGTTTTCTTCTTACAGTAAATACATACATGTTCTTTCATGTGAGGGCTGAACAAACATTCCCCCTTGAGCACATCAAAGTGAAAATCTTCTTACAGTTTCCTATAAACATACATTCCATGCACTCCAGTGAGTCTGTTATGCTTCCGCCATATAGACCGCATACCTCTCCTTCACTCAATTTAGGAATGAGGGGAATACTGTAAGAGGAGTGGCCTCAATTGGCCCAGGAATCAAGTGGTTGTGTTCACTCCCACAACAGTGCAAACGCCCATTTCTGACTGCGCCCGTCTCCAAACGTGCCAAAAGAAAGAAAAATCTACCCATGCGCACAGTTAGACTGCAGTTTGTGCTACACTTGAGCTGAGCATCAAAATTGCCCTGACTTTCCAGCTTTGTAAGACGACTTTATAATGACAGCAGAGTGTGAAAACAACTGACCTTGACTGACAAAAGTGATGGCAGTCTGCGTCTTGATCCAGAGAAGCACACATGCAACGCTGAGCGTCTCTCTGCTCGTGCCCACTCGGTCGTCCAACAAGAGCACGTCGCATTCGCTGAACTCCTTGGTAGCTCGACATTCCATATGGTACCGTGCGTCTGGAAAGTTCCACAAAACAAAGGCGGTAGTGTTCAACGACAGCAAAACATGCCCATACAAATGTCTTCATATTTTATGGCATATCACAAGATAAATGACAGAGCATGTCAATGAACCACATATGTTAAAGGCTGCATAATCTGTGCATCAGGCATGTGTCCAGAAGTATGAGGGTGAGTTCCTGACTAGTGTATATGCCTGCTAAAATATACTTCATTCTAACTGTATGACAGAATTTAGAAACGGAAAAATAAAGAAAAGGATTTCGAACCAATCAAAATTGGATTATATCAATTTGGAGTGGCCAAACTAAAAAAAAAAAAAAGAAAAACCCACATTGTGCATACTCTACCATATCATTGTATGCTTTACTTCCTTGATTTTGGAACTTCGATCGAGATGAAAACACAATGACGAATGAAGACACAATGCATCTGTCCTGCCTTTTTTGTTCTGACTTGTTTTAGTATTTAATTGCTGGCTCGTAGCAGAGCCAGGTAGTCTGTTAGTGCAGTCTTGCAAATTTTGACACATACAGCAAAACGTACACTGAACACAATGAATATTTGTGTAGTTTTTTTAATAATGATGAATGGATTATATTTTGCTGTCTATACATCTATATCTATATACCGTAATTTCCGGACTATAAGCCGCGACTTTTGTCACACGCTTTCAACTCTGCGGCTTATTTCATGAAGCGGCTTATATAAAGACTTTTCTTACGGCCACCTGTGTCCTGTCTTTCTTTGTAAATATCTCATGTTACAATATGGGCACCTGCGGCTTATACACAGGTGCGGCTTATGTGCGTACAAAATATTTTTTTCCTTTAAAAATGTAGTGGTGTGCCTTATAATCAGGTGCGGTCTATAGTCCAGAAATTACGGCATCTATATCTATATATCTATATAGATATAGTTTCAATTTCGGTCGACCGCAGAAGACAATATTGGCTGAAATGGCCCCTGAGATGGATGAAAATTGATACATTAATGTGCTTAATTCATATTTCAAAAACAACATATTACATATAATTACAATACCATAATCAAACCAGTGGAAGCACAACATATTGCTTTTGCGAAAATGTATCCATTTAGTTCCCGAGTACCCATTGGATGTTGAATATAAAAGTGCGCAGTAGTCAGCAGCAGTTTTCCCTTTCCCTTTGTATGTTTTTGTGCAGTCGGGTTAAATTCCACATCCAGGAATTTTTGAAGAATCTGTCATACCACTGACAGAGCAAGCAGGAGGAATGATTAACACTATATTCGACCTTGTAACATAAGCCCATCCACAGGCTCACATGCTTTGCACTACAGGTATATAAACAGCCTGATGTCATGAGACTTTAGTAGGATTTTGATGCACCGTGATTTCCTGTTTGCCATCGATCAGGGGTGCCCAATATTTTTGACCCAAGATTTACTTTTGATGCAGCCAACCTCACGCGGTCCACCATTTCAAATGTCAGCATCACAAAACGACACACCTTTTCAAACCTGCGGTAGCACATCGCTCTTTTTTTTTTCTTGTTTTCATAAAACTCATACACGCACATACACTTGTGCATGGATGCGCACGCATATGCACACACACATGCCATGATGAGCAATCGTCATTACTGACCCTAACATGAATGAAACTGAAAAATAAACCAGCTACAAAACAGGTATCAAACTCTTAATTTACAAAAAAAAAAAAATGAAAATCACTGCCTACCTTTGTGGGAGACCTGACACTGGAATGCATGCAGAGGGTGGGGCCAATGGGGCCACTGGCCCCAGGGCATCTACCTACGGGGAGGCATCAACCCCTTCCACCCCCCATCAATAATAGATTAATGCAGATGAATACGCAAGCTGAAGGGAGACCGGTACTTCGAGGAAGGAATCACTTTTGTCATGCTTATAAGTGGAGGAACATTGCACTCGTAGCTCATGTCTATTGTTTTCAAATAGCGCTCCAGGTGATATTTCTTTGCCAGTGCCGTTGTTGCATTGCCTATCAAACAAATTAGCTTTGAATGAGAATTAATTACAGATATCCATCAATCTATTTTCTGATCTACTTTATCCTCACAAGGGTCGCAAGGCATGCTGGAGCCTATCCCAGCTGTCTTCGGGCAGTAGGCAGGGGACACCCTGAACCGGTTGCCAGCCAATCGCAGGGCACACACAGACAAACAACCATCCATGCTCACACTCACACCTGGGGACAATTTGGAGTGTTCAACCAGCCTGCCATGCGCATTTTTGCAATGTGGGAGGAAACCGGAGTACCCGGAGGAAACCCACGCAAGCCCAGGAAGAACATGCAAACTGCACACAGGAAGGCCGGAGCTGGAATTGAACCCGGTACCTCTGCACTGTGAGGTCAACGCACTAACCACTGGCCCACCGGCCCACCGGGCCGCCCTTGAACTGGAATTATTGTAGAGTTAATTAAAATGACATTAAAATGGCTTTGTACATATCTCAAACTGGAATTACAGACTTACAATTGAACTGCCATACATATGAATACCAAAAGTAATGTCACTTGTCATCAGTGAAATGACTTTGCAAATTTCTGAAATAACAATTGTGGATAGGAAGAACAAAGTTGTGGATATCTGAAGGCCGCGCTGCACCGTGCTTCCAGCGAACCGAAGGCACTTTCTTTTTACACATCGCACCTGAAAATTTGGTGGCAGAAAGTGGACTAAACCTTTGAACAGCTGAAAGCGCACACGATCTGGGATGGAAGGCAGTCTCCATGTGCCCAGTTCACAGCGACCAACTTTATATCATCCACCAGTGGCTATCTTATTGCAGTTCCTTATAAGCATACCTTGAACGTGTCACTCGCCGACATGGAGCCAGCGAGTCAGTTTATGCTTCCTGCATGTAGAACATTCCTGAATTTAATGGGAATGAGAGGAGTTGCTTCGATTCGCCAGGAAGCATGTGGACACACACTCACACACACACACACACACACAGACACACACACACACACACACACACACACACACACACACACACACACACACACACACACACACACACCTAAGTACAAAACTGAGCAAGGAGAGTCCGGAGCAAGATATGGCCACTAACACAACAGTAATTACATTTGGCTTAGTCAACCAAAACGACCTCATGTATAAAATAACATTCAAATGAAAACTGACTGTGATGTGAAAATTCTGTCTTCAACTCAATTACACGATGGAGACAATGTGAAACCAACGGCATCAAATTAAAGGGAGAATGATAAATCAAACGGATTTTTATAGTCTCAGTCTTGTCAATGTCTTGGCTCGTCTCGGTCTTGCTCTTGACTCGGTCTCAACTCTCAAAAGTCTTCTTGCTCTTGGTGAGTTCTGCTGTCTGGCAAGTCTTGGTCTTGAATAGTTTGGTCTTGAGCAAAACACTATCAAATGTCACGTGTTAGTTTCCAGTGTGCCTTCATGAATGACACCAAGTGCAATGATCCTTTCACATCACACGGATTCGGAAATCTTAAAAATAGCAAAGGGCCTCTTTGCAAAGGGCTAACATAATGTCCCAGTGGCTTCAAAATTATACTTGAAGGCAAAGATTATATACTTACTTAGTGTATATCAAGGTGCTGATGCATGCTTTTATTTCCTTTCGCTTAGATTATTGTAATGCCCTGCTCTCTGGTCTTCCTATTTCAAGTTTACAGCCACTCCATAACTCCGCCGCACGAGTCCTGACAAGGACCAGAGGGTGGGAACACATTACATCAGTTTTAAAATCGCTGCATAGACTCCCTGTGGCTTTTGAACAACTTATTTATATACCTATTTTAATTGTAGCCTTTTTTTTTTTTTTTTAGCGCCAGTGTTTCCTCATGGTGGACCTCCATGCTGGGAGGTGTGGCGACTGTCATTCTTGTCAGTGTGGATGAGCTCCCCTTGGTTTCTCTCTGCCTTGCAATGTCTTTTTTAATACAGTATATTTCATCAGGGTATGCGCGCGCGTGTGTGTGTGTGTGTGTGTGTGTATATGCGCGCGCGTGTGTGTGTGTGTGTGTGTGTGTGTGTGTGTGTGTGTGTGTGTGTGTGTGTGTGTGTGTTTGTGTGAGAGAGCACAGGCATGCTTGTGGGGATATGTATCTGTGTATGTTGGGTGGAGTGGCAGGGTCCTCTTTTTATGCTGTATTTTGGATTATTTCATTGCGCAACACTTTGAGTTGCATTTGTATATATGGAAAGTGCTATAAAAATAAAGTTTGATTGATTGATCAATAATGTAGAATCCATGTACAATATCTGTATATAATGAAGCCATTCAAATATGTCAATCTGCCCTGACTTGTTAAGTGGTAAGAAGGAGTGCTGTTAAGCTGAAACAGCCCACAGCAGTCTTGGCAAGGGAAGAGAGAGCACAGACAAAAGACTGTCTTGCTGGAAAAAAAAGTTATTCAAAATGGATGACAAAAATCAACAACCATGGAGATACGCTGTTGTCTCTACTCAAGTGCGGTCAGACGACTGGTTCCCCGTGTCCTGTAATAGGGGACAAACAGTCTCCATGTTTCCTGAGCACGCCCAACTTCTTGCGCTTGTCATCATTCTGCCAATTCACATTATGCTTCAAAGTCATTTTAATGGTTCTGTGACAGCTGTGGCCCACAAAAGGATGATTATATAACTACCTCAATAAAGCAAGGCAGTAAGTCTTTCTATAAAGCGTTCGGGAAAAAATGTGGTGGGCCTCATTATTTGGGTTATGTATCACCTGATTGCTTTCTGATGATGTTCACTGGCATTATAATTTTTTTAATGGTACTTCTAAAGACCAAGGCCCAATTAGGGGGAAAGAGTACAACACTAGAGTTGGAAAAAACTTCATGCATGACGTCATCATATCCGACCACATCTCAGAATAATCCCGCAAAAAAAAAAAAAAAAAAAAAAAAAGGTGAGCGGGGATGCAGTTCATTGTCCCATAGCTGCGGCCATGTTGTATTTTTTGAGCCAGCTGATGGTTTCCACGCAGTCAGCAGCTTGATTAAAGACCAATACAGTATATCGATTCATTATTATGTCCATTCCTACTGGCAACAGACTGATTTTGGGATTATTTCCTTCTGCCATAATTTTTTTAAAGCGGAACAAATCGTGGGGTTGATCAGTCTCCAGCAACAGCTTGTTAAACTGCTGAGGTCCCTATGACTGAACGGACAGCGCAGTTAAACAAGCAAAAATAGCACCGATTTACATGACAGTTAGGTGATGTCTGGAACATGAGCAAAGTCCATGACATTTTCAGAATAAAAGCAGGCGGGGATTTGTTTTCTCTCATTTTCATTTGTCGAGTGATGGCACTGTGACATTTTGATGATCATCTTTATTTCTTCTTTGCTGCCCGTATTTCTTTCCAACTCCGCAGAGGACTGCACGCTACTGAGATGACCGTCAAAGTACTTTTGTGTCAGTGCAACACAACACAACATTTCACTTAACTGCCAAAGCATGCAGACACTGGTGCAAGTGCGCATATTGAATTGATCTGGTGAACATAAATTCATTCCTGCATCATCCTCCCAGTCAATGGAGTGATCTAAACCCCGTCACTATATTTCCTGTAAAAAAATTCAAGATGTTTCAGGCCAAAGGTTAGATCAGTTACTCAAAGTGAGTCCTATATATGCCTTGTGGGAATTTTGACAAAGAAAGACGGATTATTTTTCATGTCTCAATCACAATCACTGCCACTCGCCTCACTCAGTGATTAATGAAGCGTCATGAAGTGATCACCAGGAAGGAAAAAACTTGGCTGACTCTCGGTTAACCTCAATTCAAACATCAACTTTCGCTCTATGTTTACAGATTGTTTTCTGTTTTTTTTCCCTTCCAAGCTGCAAACACAGATGTACTATATAATGTTTCCATAACTTGAAATTTTGTCTGCTCGTGCCTGTTGCTTATCGAGCTGTTTTGAGCAGTTCAGCCAACATTTTCAACGATTAGCCATTTGACATACGTTTGCCAGGAGTTGCTCCACAACTCTCCCTCACACACATCCTCAACATAGAAAAAATACAATATAAGTTTTAATTAATTGTCTGTATTGGAGTTATCAAAAAATAATTAGATAGCGGAAATGCTTATATTTAACCTTTGTGTTTGTGACTTACTTACTTACTTACTCTTTTTTGATCATGCATTAAGCCTCTGGGATGGTGAAATAAATGCATTGTTGGACCTGAACATGTTCATTAAATTAATTGCTAATCGTCCTGTTCAGGGTTAATAGAAAGCCCCTAGTGGGTGTATAAAGTTGAGGGAGTATTTGAAATAACTGCTGCTGTATCTTGTGTCTTGGGCTTGTCATCACTTGAAAACTGACCTGTGCTTGAGGCTTTCTGGTGTGGTTAATTAAAAGGTGCCGCAAAAAAAGAACATTTCACAAATGTTTTGCGTTCACCAATAAACTTGACTGGCAAAATTGACGCACCAAGCGCCTTCATATCTGATGTGTGAGTGTCACATTCGCTTGAACCTCAAAAGGAAATTATTCAGAATAAAACAGGTGGTGATTTGCTCAATCAGCCCCTGAAGAAGCAATCTTGGGCCACAACCTTTATCCCCCGAGCCAAGTCATTTATTTAAACGACTTGGCTTGGGAGTACGACTACTACTTCAGATGCTGCACCAACTCACCCCAAAGATGTCACAACAGAGGAAAAAAAAGTATGTAAATCATGCGTACTTTTTGCGTAAATGCCCCAAGAGACTTTTCCTATTTCTTTCAATCAACTAAACAGTATATGAGATCTGATTCTTGCACTTAAACAATTCACTACCTAAGCTTTAACCCGCAATAATCACAAGTGTCCTTGGTTGGCTGTTGTTTGCTATTCATTGTTTTGTTTGTTCCAATGTATATATTTATGTCTTTATGTATCTTTATGCAGTTCAGTGTGCCGCCTTTATTTTTAGCTGTGTGTGTTTCAATGCACTGCATGTTTGCACTGTGGTTGAGAGAGGAAAGTAATTTCATCTGTGCTGTATGTTGCACATAGAGCATACAGTATTTGACAATAAAGCTTGACTTGACTTGAACTAAACCAAAGTACTTTCATTCTGAATATACTCATACATCCAAAATAAGTAAGAGCTATGAGCCAGGTATATACTAATGATGTTTTTGTTCATTTTCATACAATAAAAGGGAAGAATTAGCAACAAAAGGTCAGAGACACTTATCAGTGCTGTTAGTTTAACCAAAACAGAGAAGGTAACAAGCAAGGGTCAGATGTAAACTTCACTATACACTTGTCATATTATACACTTGTATACCTTACCTTATACAGATTAGCCAATTACAATGTATAGTTGGTATACAGAAGCAGTATAGGCTACCTGTTTCCTTGCCATTATCAGTCAAATTCCATGAAAGCTAATTTATTTGTAATTTTTTGTTTTTAATCTAACTATACTGTATAGGCTGCACGTGGTTTTTTTTTGCTTCAATAAAATAGTATAAACTATAGCATAAATGAAATGGGTAGAGTACACTAAATTAACTTAAAAGGGCCCTTGAAAATTAAAATTGTTTGCAGATCAGATTGGATTATCATATCGCTTTCCTTGTCCTTTCCGTTTTCTTTTTTTTAAAACCTAAAAGATATATTTGCTTGGTAAAATACGCCGCATTTAATAAGTGATGTCTTACTCGGGAGTATTGATCCAGATGATGTCCAAATGGCAGTAATAGATGCACTCTTTATCCTTGTAGGAATAACAGGTGCAGCGCTTCGATCTGGACTTTGGTTCCGTCGCGTCAGAATTCTTTCGAGCCGCGACTCCACCGGAGTTCAACTCCGTGCTGGGTCCCGACACACCTCCGGGGCTGACCTCGGATATGACCCGAGCATCACACCTCAACACACCTTGTATTACACAGGAAACACATTACAGTATTAGGAAACGAGGGAAAAGTTTGCCGCGATGCGCAGCTTGCACGACGACGGGACCCGTACGTACCTTGTAAGATTATTAAAGCAAGGATTTTATAAAGCATGATTCTCGCCTGCATGGGGAAAGGATCCTTATTACGCGTGTCAAATATTCCCAAATTGGAAGAGAGCCTGGTAGTAATGCGACGGCGTGGTCATATTAATCCAACACGTGTAAAAATCCACTGATGTCCATGTCCAGATCCTGGCAAAAAATAATAATAATAATAAAACAAACAAAAGCAAAAAATGTCGTTTATTCCTCCGTTGCGTTCATATTTGGACGTTCGTGTCATAAATCCTGCACGCAATGCCGTGTGAACCTGTCCTAACGAGTCCCCCCAACAAATGCGTATGCCCAAACTCTCTCCGCCGCAGTCTCACAGCATCTGAAGGAAAGGGCAGCGTTCTTGTCCGCCCCCTAAAAATCACAAATAAAGATCGATGGGCTTTGGATAGGCTAGGGTACACCCCCACGACACCTCCCTCCACCCCCGATCAAATATGCGCGAAAGGGAGGGCTCCACTTGAGATGCTGTTGATGCATGGTAAAGGAATGAGGGTATGTTTCCTTAGTTTATAAGTAGAGCTATGTAAACGTAGCCGAACACGAGCTCTGCGATATCCCATCGAGCTGCGAATGAGCCCAGCTGTGATGAGGGTCTTTTTTTCTTCTTGTATTGTTACCTACCTGAGTACAATCACAGGGTACAATCTCAGTTCTCACGGTTCAATTCACTCCAGGTGCACGTAAAGCAGGATTAAGCGAACACGTGTGACATTCTCAACTTGAATGCATGTTGGGTTATATAAAAGGCTTCCTGGAAATACTGTAACTGAGTGGAGGTTGCCTGCAGGCAAACGTGAGGTATTGCCTCTTTAGTTCCAAAGCATGCAGAGTCATCATCGCCTTAATGATGAAGATGAGACGAGATGCTATCGCAAGTGGAAATACCAATCCCAGTATCTTTGAACATTTCCAAAAGAGTCTTACACAAATTCCCTGAGTGACTTTCAATTTCAAAACCATTTTCCCATCTATCCATTTTCTATGTAGTTCGTGCTCATTAACATTATGGTAAGCAGATAAGATGGCTATCCCAGCTTAAAAAAATAAATAAATAAAAATAAAAACCTGGCCCCGCCCTGTGTGGTTGGTTTTCTACTATACTTTTTCAGAACCATGCAGTTACAATGTACTGTAACCGCTTTTCAGAACCGCTACCAAGAGTAAGTACCAGGAGTTAGCAACCTGAACTATAGAGGGCGCCGTCCCTATGGCTTGTTTATAACAGCCCTCCAATATGGCCGCCGGGAGTGCATTGTGGGTAATTGCTAAAAGGACGGAGCCCTCTATTCAAAGAGTCATTTGGGCAGAAGAGAGCATGCTCGCACTTATATGGTTGTTCCTGCTCTTTGTCGCTTGTGTATTGGTCTTTTTTTCGAAGTACTGTAGTTTGTTTGTTTTTTCAGAGGTGTAAGATTTACACTCCGTGCAGTAAACCTTGGATATATTTTGCAGTTTTATGTCGCTGTCTCACATACAGTAAACAGCTTTCGACCATCTCCCACGCCGCTTTACAGCTCGTCAGCTTCGGTGGGAACTATTCGGACACTTTTGACGTTGCTCAAATGCTCAGTGCCTTGAACTGTTTTTGTTTTTTTTTTTTTTTTTTGTAGACTGGACTGTTGCTAGTTAGCTAGCCAATAATTAGCCTACCTCAGCCAAGGGGTGCCGAGCAGCCAGCGCAAGCTGCTACATCCATAATCGATGGCGCAACCGTCTTCGGCCGCCCATGCCTTCGTGATGCCATCTGCTGTCATTGTGTGACGCTCTGTAAGTCTCTCCCGGGGATGTATGGGTGTGGACCGTCTTTCCTGGAATCACAGTTTTTCATCTCCGTGCCTCAAGCCTGTGGCTAGGGGTTAGCTCCGGGCTAACATCCTCCATGACTGTGACGATGCTGACCTACTCCATTTCGCAGCTGCTGCAGAACTTCAACAGCTTCTCCACTCCGGTCTGTATTAAAACCATTCTACAACTTGCGAGAACGAAACTGTATCGCTCCCAATTTTCTGGTCCATTTAGGTGCCCTATTCTTTTCTTTTGGCCACTCAAAACAACTGCTTGAATGTGAACAGTGCATCGCCACAGACCACCGAGGCATTTCGCCGAATAACTCGACAACATGGGACAATAAATAATGCAGCTTTAAGTATTACCGAAAAGTTGGTTGGCCAAGTTTCCTTCACTGGTGACCTTTAAACATCAACCTTTTCAGAGGGAAAGTTGACAGACATTCACTCACACTTCTAAACCACTGCTGTCCTGCCTCCAAAAAACTGCTGACCCACCATCTATCACTATCCATCTTCTTTGCTCCGAGAGGATATCATGAAATAAATTTAGCCATCCACTTGAGCCCTGGAACCTTCCTCCCCCCAGCCTTGCTGAAAGCCAATATTTCTGCCATTTTTCCACTCTTAGCCAGACAAATCACATCTGTGTTAAAAATGGTCGTCATCAGGTCACTTATGAAAAAAATCTCCAATCTTCCCTTCCTATTTAAAGTTGTGGGAAAAACAGTAGCAGCATAAGATTGGGATCTGTCAAATACAATAACCTCTTTGAAAAGTTTCAGTCTGCTTTATTGTGCATGTCTGTCTTCCATTAAAAACTGGCCTTGGTCAAACCAGATTGACGAGTCATAGTTGGAAATGATAGATATTCTGACTCACGGCTGCCCTCCGAGTTCGTGCCCAAATTATTTCAAAGGCAAAGATTTGTTCTGCCAGAGTTCTCTGGCACCTTTACTCAACTGGGAAGCAGAAAGAAATAAAATAAAAATAACTTCTATTTTGTTTCTTTCTGTTCAACCGACCTGTGAGGGGCACTGCCGAAAGTTGATCTTGTGCTAACGTGTCGCATGATGCACGCTTGGTGCTATTCAGACAGAGATTAAGATGGATGCACCCAAATCAATAATTGGGAAGAATTTGAGCATTTATACCCCCTTTCCACTCAAACTCAGTAAATCTACTCAGAAGTCAGTCAGGGGTGACGATCGTAAAATTTAAACCTGTTCAGAATCAGCGGTGTCATTTACTAACACAAGCTCTTGAAACGTGACGATCACTTACATTACCATCTAGTGGTGCCAGAAGAGTACAGCACTCTTCAGAAGGTTCAGAGCAAGTCTTCACAAATTCAACATGGCTGAGAAGGCAAGGAAACTTTCTGCTGGCCACCTGAGAGGCGAACAGTGCCAGACAATAAAATCATATTTCATTGCTATTTTTTTGTTGAGGTATGCATAAAAGCACTGTAAGTTTTTCCTGACAAGCACATATGAGAAAAATGAGCAAAAGTGGTGATTCTGTATGCTGCCAAACATGATGTACGCGTACCTGTATATCGGTCTTGATTTCGTTTCATTTTAAGCAAACTGTGGTGCAGCAAAAAATGCTGTGCGTGTTTGCGTGTGACAGTTTAACAGTTGAATACATGAATATACGTACTGTATACATAAATAAATTACATGGATTTGTCCATCCATCCATACACTTTCTAATCCACTGATCCAAACCAGGGTCGCGGGCGTGCTGGAGCCTATCCCAGCCGTCTTTGGGCAGTAGGCGGGGTACACCCTGAACTGGTTGCCAGCCAATCGCAGGTTAGACATAGACAAACAACCATTCACGCTCACAATAACACCTAGGGACAGTTTACAATGTTCCATGAACCTGCCATGCATGTTTTTGGAATGTGAGAGGAAACTGGAGTACCCGGAGAAAACCCACGCAGGCACAGAGGGAACATGCAAAGTCCACACAGATTTGAACCCGAGACCACTACTATGAGGCGGACGTGCTAACCAGTCGCCAACCGTGCTGCCAAACGGTGTTTTTTTTTTTATCCCACATGATATTAGTTCCAGAATGCTTTTCTATGCAAAGAGCATGAGATTTACTCTTTCTTTCTGATAGAGATGATCATAAATATTTTTTTTCAATGCCGCAAAATAATAGTTGTATGTATGCAGTTATGACCGAATCAGTGACCACAATTCATTTGTAAGTTGAACTTTGTCAAGTTTCAAATCTTTACCTGAACAACAAAAACATAAATGTTAAGGTATTATTCCTCCCGCCAACCCAACCAAAATGAACCAAAGATTCTTCCCATCACTGTCACAACACTTTCAAATATACCAACCACGTCTCAGTCAAACCTGAAATGAAAAGAGCCCCTGTCCCTTAAAAAAAAAAAAAAAAAATCTAGAAAGCATCTGCACATGTGATAAAGCAGCGATGTTCGATTGTACTGGTCTGAAATCTGTTTGTTTTAGTCAGGATGAAGCTAACTTGTGTTTTCCAACGACATTGAAATTCCCTACGAAGAGTCAAACTTCAACTTTTTATTCCCATGAATTCCAGCAGAATCCCATGGAATGATTCCAACTCATATGCAACCCAATGTCTGTGGTGTTGGTGATTACATGTGAACCACACATTCTGAGAACAGTAAAATACATTTTCCCCATCATGTGGTATCGCTTATTTTAAAAAGCCGTTAAGTTTGATATGTGCACTACATTACTCAGGTGGTTGTACTCATGACATGGACCCATCCAAAGAATTATCTCATCTGTTTGTCTGACAAGAAAATGACCTTTGGACCCCACCTATAATTGTGATTATCTTGTCAAAATATAAAATAAAAAAATCTAGCAACGCAAGACGTGAGAGCTGTCTTTCTTCTCTTTCGCAGTACATACGGAGCATTGACTTATCTTTTCCTTTCACCGAAATTTGACCTGAGCTATTTTGGCCAAATGCATGCCAGACATTCCTGTGGAAGCCACCATGCCCTTGTCACGGTCATTTTCAAGAGAACACACTATAATGAAAGGATCACACAGGAGTTTAGATAAAGTACAAAATGAAGGTCATTACCTGCTGACTTTAGTTTACGCAGGAAGTCAGCCACACAGTGAGGGAAACAAAGGCAGACAAAACAGGGGCTAGTAAAAGATGACCTGGGGGAAATAGACAAAGAAAAAACACCATCCTGAATGTTCCACTTCAGTAACAAGCAGAACACAGGAAGATGTTTAATCGAGTGAAAAGTCTGTGTGAAAAATATTGGGACACTAATTGCGGATGAGCGGTGCACTGCAGCCTCGGGGCAGGGTTTGATGGTCTTGAGCTTCTTTGCTTGAGCACCAGGGTGTTGTAGTCTGGAAAAGTCTAGACAATAGAAGGGCAAACTGGCCATTGAGCAGGTAGAGAAGATTGAAAAAAAAAATGTGTAAAACCAGTTAAAAAAAAAATCCCCCTCAATGCAGCAGTTAGCTAGGATGGAACCTTGAAAGTCTTCTCTTGATGGATGGATGGCTAGCTAGCTAGATGATAGCTAGCTAGATAGATAGATAGACACAATGTATATATCGTTTGTTCCAGGGGCAACTGTCAACATTGTAAAACTTTCTTTCACTAGACAGTCATTGTTTCAAGTTTTCTGTTTGGAAAAAAAACCTATTCCCCCTTCCCCCCAATTTAAAACAGCAATGCAGATGACAGAAATTGAGCGAGAGGAGAAACTTATGCTCTTGAGTGAACTCAACAAGGTAAGACAGATACCGTCATGGATGACTCACTATGTCTCATGATTTACCCACAAGATCACTCACTCATGAGTAAACCAGTGCCTCCGGTGTGTGCCATCATTCGTGTTCCTAACGCAGAGACCGGCCCTGTGGGTATGCACACTCTAAATCAAACTAA